CTTCTCCCACCCGAATCTGTGATGAGTCTAAAGAGTTGCCTAGTGTTGCCTATCGCCGATGCTTTTTCCATCTCTTTTGCCTTTGTCACCCACCACTGTTCACGGTCCTTGCGGAGACTTTTAGTAAGTTTCCTTTTGTGCAGCTTTCGCTCCTCATTGAATTCGGAGCTCGCCGGAATAAGTCTTCTAGCATCTATCAGTTCGGATGAGGCAGTCGAAATCCAGTGGTTTTTACTCACCTTTGGATTTGCCTTATTCACAGCTTTTACAGCTGTATCTATAGCTGACTGAATATTCTTCCAGGCTTCTCCAGGGTGAGCACAGCTGTCGGATTCAGATATGCGTTTAGCTAGTTCTTCCTCAAATAGGGATTTAGTTTCCTGATCGAGCTGGGGACGTGATGGTTTTACCGCCAGCTGTTTCCTACGTCCGTTCAGTCGTAAGCACACACGAGCCCGGACCAGTGCGTGATCGGTATCTACACACGTGTTCCAGAAGGAGCGACAATCTCCTACCGACCCACGCCAACGATAGCTTATTGCTATGTGGTCTATTTGTGTCCAGCGTTGGTTTGATGATGGGGGTCGCCAGGTTAAACAGTGTCTCTCCTTGTGTTTAAAGTTAGTGCTTACAAGAAACAAATGATTATCTGAACAGAACTGTAGGAGACGGTCACCGTTGTCGGTTCGCTGGCACGGAACTCCATAGGTGCCACCGACATCCTTCTCAGATTGACACAATTTCCCTACTTGAGCGTTAAAGTCACCAGCTAGAACGACTATATCTGAGCGTTTAGCCTTTCTCACCAAACTAGACAGCTTTTGGTAGAACTCATCCTTCGTTTCATCCGAACTGCAGTCAGTGGGGGCGTAGGCGGAGATTACGAAAAGGCATCGGCGAGTAGTGCAGTCCTTTCTCCTTCTTACTGATCCGTTCAGACGGACAGCACACATTCGGCTATCTACCGGGATCCAGTCAAGCAATGTCTTTTCTGCCCTAGTACTCAGAGCTATCCCTACGCCAGCTAATCCTCGTGAACTAGCTGTGGCATCTCCTGACACCCTCAAGGTGAATTTTGAAGATTCATCCTGTTGGCCAGGTGGGGTTAGGTGAATAACCACACTTGGGTCTTGTATGCGTGTTTCTGAAACACAACATACATCAATGGCTCGAGATGCCAGGGTCTTAGCTAGTGATGCTTGTTGTCCTATTTGGCAAAGTGTCCTAACATTAAATGCTCCTATATGAAATTGGTGGCGTGGCTTTAGGAGACTATCCGTGGTGGTTTTTTGGCTTTCGTCGTTTTTAGTGGACACAGAGTGAAGAGGGAGTGAGGAGCCATCAAGTAGAGGAGTTGCATCAGTGGGAGGAAGGCAAGGCAATGGAGATGAAGACAAAGATAAGTGAGGATTAGAGAGGTTTTGTGTGCATTTCGGATTGTGAGGGCGTTTGTTACTTCCCGGCTGCCCACACCGTGGAAGTTGGTTGCGTGACCGCAGAGCCCAGGGGACAACTGCTTGAGGCCGGTCACACGCGGCCTGTTTTTGTTTGTTCTGTTTTGTTTGGTGTGCCTCAGTAGCATACTTATCACTCCCGCCCTGTGACACGGCAGCAGGAAGCGCGGTCGTTGTTAATCCGGGCCACGGCCGATCCGGCATGAAATTTTGTGAATTTGTTTGGATCATGGTATTGGATGAGGTAGCTGCTTTTTGTTTAACCGCTATCCAAACAACCTGCCTGGCATGGTAGAACCTCAAGAGACATAAGTCTCAGCCAGTATAGCTTGATTAGGTCATTGCGGTGTTCAAGCCCGACCACCACGTCAAGGTAGCAGCTTTCGGTGGAGATGACTTATATTCTCTCTTATTTATGTTATTATTAATAGTTTCACAATTATTTTTATTTTCCGTTTGGCCTTTTTCGATCTTCCTGAAGAATTTTAAAGGATAGTTATTCAACACCAAAGCCTCTTCTGTTTTAGTTCGTCACTTAGGTCTTTTCTTGTGCTACTTAGTGCTACTGCTCGGTTTGTTAAACACCTAACTAAGCCTGCCTTAATAGTTAACGTGTGAGATGAATTGATGTCTAAGTATCTATTGGAATGAGTTGGTTTTCTGTACACACTAGTGTGTAGTTTACCTTCTTCCATTCGTTTTATTTTACAATCTAACATAGCTAATTCTCCTTGTTCATTTTCCGATTCAAATGTGAATTTTATTCCCTCCACTAGTGAGTTTATGTGTGTCAAGAACCTAGAGATACGTTTTGTTTTTAACTCTGTGAAAGTGTCATCCACATATCTCCACCATTATTTTGGAGCAGGATAAAACGTATTGAGAGCATTACTTTCCCAGCTATCCATAAATATGTCTGCTACGATAGGGGATATTGCTGATCCCATTGCTACACCTTCCGTTTGTCTATATATTTTACCTTGGAATTTAAAGACAGTAGATGTGAGGCATAACTAAATCCCTAAAATAATTTGTTCAATAGGCAACTTTGTCCTGATTGAGTTCAGGATCCGTATTTAGTTCTTTTTTAACTGCTAAGGCCATATTGACTGGTATATTAGTATAAAGACTAGTTATGTCAAAACTAACCATTTTTCATCATTCTCTAGTTGAATGTCATTTAGTTTATTTTTCATCTTATATGAACTAGTTAGTCTAGAGTTTGAACGATTTCTAGTGGGGCATAATATTAGAGCTAAGTGTTTTGATAAATCATAAGTAGAGGTATTTCTAAAATCTACTAATGGTCGTATGGGGCAACCAGGCTTATGTATTTTAATAGTACCATACATTTTACTAGCATTATTAGATTTAGGCATTAAATTAAACCATTCTGACTCACCCAGTGACGGCTTCATTCTGCGTATTAGTTCTGCTGTAGATTGCTTAACCTTATTCATTATTGTGCCTACAGTCTTCTTGATTTATTCATATGGATCCGTTTAAATATGTTCAGTAACTTTTTTGATGTAGTCAGATTTATCCAAAACTACGGTGGCGTTTCCTTTGTCAGCTTTTGCGATGACAATGTTTTTATCCTGTTTAAGACTAATTAAAGCTTCCCTTTCCGATTTTGTTAAGTTTGATTTTGTTTTCTTTTGATTTTTCAGGGTTAATGCACATTGTGCTCGAACCTCTTCTGCTGTCGTCTTGTCTGTTGAGTTTAGCGCTACTTCGATGTTAGGAATGACATCCTCTGGTTGAAATTTAGTCCTCTCTCAAGTACTTTTATCCCACTAGAGCTTAGTTCCCTTGATGAGAGGTTGATCACCCACTTTGTTCTGTCGATAGAGGATGAAGTGTTGACATCACTTTCATTTGTTGTATTCTTTTCTCCAACTAGTTTGTTGAATTTTTTGATTTGTGTGATTTTTGATTTTCTTAATGCTGATTCTCTAGCTTTTTTGGATGTTTCAACAACAATTATATAATCTTTGTCATTGATCATATATTTGAGTTTTACAATTTTATTTAGTATATTATTTAGTTTCACAGTAATTCGATGTAGTTATTCTCTTAGACATAATCTACTTACATGTTCCGCTGCCGACGTTATTTTGCTCGAAGTAATTGGAGTACGTAGACGTAAATATTTCAGAATTATATGATTTTTTAAACATCGACTGTTAAAAATCCGATGATTTTGTGAATCTTGCTTCAGTTTGGCTAAGTCGTGTGAGTTTGTTGATAAGCTTCCTAGTAGGAAGACCATAAGTATCATTGGTGCAATGCATGCATAAACACACAACCACACAATAGATAGATGGGTGGAAAGAGAGGTTGATTACTGAATCCTTGTTCATCAAGTCTACACCAAACACATGCAATAGGAAATATGTGGAAATATGGAAATGGAATATACTACTAGCAATCAAATCAAGTGAAAAATAATGGAACTATATAAATGAAGTTAGGAAGTCGTGTGATTGCCTTGATATGATTGTGAGCAATAAATTGTGTTCGAAACGTCATCAGTGAACATTACTGTATAACACTGTGAGACTTTATCAAAAAATTAATCCATAATGGAATTGCACCTGGAAAGTGTTTAACTGAGCCTCGCCTCAGTGCACTGGCCAAGGTAGTTGTTACATCGTTTTGGCAGTTACTCTTCCTGACAAGCACTAAATTTTTATGACTTCGCGGCAGCCAGCAGTAAGTCAAAAGTGACTACAATGATAACATTGTTACTATGGCATTGTATGAGCATAAGTATATATATATATATATATATATATATATATATATATATATAGCATTTATTTTAGTAAAACCTGATAGTCGATAACAAAAACTATCTCACTTCTGAACTCCAAAATTTCGTGGGTGTTTTCACAATCGGTTAGAAAAAGTCGTATGGGGACAGGTAGCTAAATGCAGTCACAGCACACCACATCGATTAAGTCAGATTTCACAGGTGTCGGGGAAGGATATACATGGTAAGCTTCTTCTGTGATGTTCAGAGCAGCATTATGACTTTGCAAATAACGAACCAAATTTTAAGCAGTCGGAATCAGTGGTATGAAATACAATATGCTTGATCTAATCTTATGCTAGCCACGAAGTCACATTAGCTAGGGTCACGGCGACTAAATTTTACTGCGCATCAAGTTAGAGGTCTAAATAATAATTCTAGCGATTATCTGCTCCGTGTTCCTTGCCTCTTAGTGTAATACAGCTTTCATCCTCTTAATGTACTTATATATCACGTGGTACTTTTTCATTCCTTCTGTCGAATTAGATATTCATTTGAGTGACTACATAGGCTAGTCGGTATTTTATACGTCTTAATTCAATGCTCATTTCCTGTTATTATGAGGAAAATAAAAGCCGACCACATCTATCGTATAAGGTCTGATGACGTCGTCTGAACTTCGGTTGATTGGGTGGAATTTTTAACCCATGACTTGTTGGTTGGAAGTAAAAGACTCGAAAAACTACCCCTGCCCTTATTTCATCTGTTTCCACTTCGTGTTTTTGTTTTAGGAATTACATGAACGATAGTCTTCGAACTGACATATTTGTCCGTTACCTTCCAGAAGCAATAGCCTGTGGGTGTATTCATCTAGCATCATGTAAATTGAATGTTCCGCTTCCACGAAATCCGGCATGGTGGGAGATGTTCAATGTAAGCGAGGATTCTGTGCATGAAATCACTTTATGTTTGTTGCGTTTGTACGCCCGCCCAAAGGCAGATGTTGGGAAACTTGAATCTGTTTTAAGTCAGCTCAGAAAATCTCAGATAGAGGCTAAGGAACGCCAGAATGAATTGAAAAAAATGAAGGCCAATACAACATCTCCAAGCGCTAGGTCTGATCACAGTTTTGGCTATATGTCACCACCAAACCGCTCTTCCAAATCAAAGAGTCATAGGAAATCTAACGGCACGAAGAAGGTTACAGATCTTAAATCTGAATCTGGAGATGTCAGTAACACTTATCCTCCAAGCTCCCTTTTGGCAAGCGCTTTAGCTAACGCTAAAGCTGTTGCAGCAACAGTTACAGCAACAAAAACAGGTGCATTTACAGACGACTCACCGAGGTACAGTATTAATCCATTATCTATTCCAATCAGAGATGATCTAAGTGACGAAGAAATAGCTTTGTTGGAATCAATGAACACATTGGATGAACCCAATCATTTCAAAACCAGATCCGATGAAGTTCCTGAAAAGTCAGATAGGTAAGTCTCAGAAAATTGTTTCACCATATTCACGAATATGTAAACTTTTGTTTGCCTGGCACAAACAAGGAGCATGTCGACATCTTATGTTTATCATACAAAAAATTGAAGGTAGTGAATCAGTACTTGTTATTCGCTTCAAATTTTAGGTAGCTTGCAGATTGTAGGCAGCAAATACACACTCACTAATCCTAATTTATTTTTTATTCATGAGTTATTGACGTAATTAGACTCAGTAATTCAATTTTCATACTTTTGTTGCAGTTTGGCTACTCAGTACCTCTTTACAGTTATAAAGGGAATTATCTTTATCAATTTACACAATCAGTAGGACTGTGGTTTGTTGGTCTTTGTAGTCAAATTTCAACCAGTAAATCACAAAATAGAAACCTGCTCTGCTTACAGAAAAGTGAACAAACAGATGGCATCACGATGATATGATAGCTACTACCTTGAGGTGGTGGTCGGGCCTGCATGCCTCAATGACCCAACAAGCTACACTGGCTGGAACTAATATTCCTGGAGGTCCTACCATGCCAGGAAGATAGTTAGGATAGCGATTAGACTAAAAGCAGCTACCGGCATAGTGTAAAACTCCTTACACTATGTTGGGAGTCTATGGGTGAAGTCGTACTGCTGGGGGACAGGGATGTAATAGCAGTTAGGTGTTTCCCACAGATGATCAGCATGCCAGCTATCTTGTCTCTTCACTCTGGAGAGAGGGCGTCAGAAAAGTTCGACCCCGAGTCGTATATAGCGACTTATCCTACGGGGGTCCGTAGCCGATGGTAAGTTACATATATGGAACCAAACCAAAACACCACTTCATACAGACTGTGTGTGGTCGGCCTCAAGCAGTTATCTCCTGGGTTCTGCGGTCACCCAACACTAACTCATGCAGCCAGCCAGGTAAGAAATTACGATGAGTTGTCATCTGAAGTGATGGCAACCAGTGGTGTCCAACATGATAGAATGCAGAGTCTACTGAATACCTTGAGCACCAGCAATCTTAAAATGTTTGGCGTGCGATTCGCGTCCTGTCGTTAAATGCAAAATGATGCTACAGGACTGGACTGGACTACATTGACTCCTAGATTAACGACAAGGGATGAAGTGGTAGGTCGAGTTGACCACTTCACTTATTTGGGAAGTTGCATCAGCCAGCGCCAAAGCGTTGATCGCTGAAGAAATCTCAGCACAGATACAGAAGGCTCGTTTGCATATGCCGACTTACGCCACTTCTGGCGTAGACATGGTATCCGGCTGGCTATCGACGAAAGGGCGTGTGTACTGCTCGACAGCAGTCCGCTCTGTCCTCCTTTATGGCTGTGAGTGAGCCATGACCACTGAAAGTGGAAGATATGCAAAAACTAGCTGTCATTGATCATAAGTGCCTGCGTTCTATCTCTCGTGTTAGATGGTATAATATGGTGAGCGATATTGAGGTAAGACTTCGGTCGAGTGCTAGGTGAGGAGGGGAAATCAACTTACAAGGTTGTGATGGTTAGGATATGTGTTGGGCATGCCTAGTCATCGCCTTCCTCGACAGGCAATGCTAGCTAATATTGAATGGATCAGGTAACAAAAGAGCTAGTGGTGGTCAAACCAAAACATGGCTTCATCAGTCAATAGAATCTGCAACAGTAATATAAACCAAGTAAGAAGCTGTAGACTGGGTGGCTGGTTGAAGTCCTCGCGGTGGTAAAAAAACAATGGCTGGAGACAATGGGTGATATGGCTCCAAATCGTTCTCAATGGGTAGTGCAGAGACATCCGCTCCTTGTGACTTTATACCGAATAAATCTTAGATGCTTTTTGATATTACTATTTTTTTGCCTCATATCTCTGTTTACTGTCTCTGTTCTGCATTTCTTTCTACTTTCTTCTCTTGCTTTGTGTGCTACATAGAGTGTGGCGACTCGAACTGCTGCACATCTGTGCAAAGTTCTACGTTAAAATCAGTCAGTGAGGTATATTGAATAAATGTTTGATTAGTAGTTATGCTCGTTAACTTTGTCTACATCTTACAGCTCTAGTCACCAGATGACGTCAGTTAGGAGATCACTGAAAAACGAGATTGCTGGATAGCTATTTCGTTCTGGTTCAGAACTCCTCAGTATTACGCACCCGCCGGGCATCGAGTTCAGGACCTTCCGACTACAAGACAAGCCACTGGAACCCTCGATCCAAGGGTCCATGCATACCAACTGCTAGCGACTCGCTCTATATAGCGCAGCCGCCAGCCAATTTCATAGGCAGCAAACTTTTATTCACGTGACTTAATGGATCTCGAGGTTACAACATCTCGCTAGAACTCTAGGTAACTTCCTGTATAGAATTTGTCGCTAGTGAGCATCAGGTTAATGATTAAGTGTTGGTTTGCAGGTTTATTAAGTGTTTTTTTTAGTTGAAATAGTTTTTGGGCGAGCTAAAAATCAATGTATGAATATACAGTGAGTTATTTCTATACTGTGATTCTGCCAATGCCTTCAATATTCAAAATAAGCTGGCAAAACTCTTGTAATTTGGGTAGGGTCCATCTCTGTGCGGTTGGCAGATATCTATAAATTCGGCTTGTACAGATGGAAGACCATCTCCGGAAAACGGAGTACCACGCTTTTGTTAATATTATATCTATATTCAACAATCACTGAAAAATATACTGTTAATTATCTAGGTATAATACCAAAATACTTACAGCGCAGTGTTTTTGTCTCTAACGTGACCTTGTTTGCAAGCAAAAACATGAAAATGGATGGCTTTTAACCTACCGATTCATACTCTGCCGTAATTGATAATTGATTTAAAACGTGAAATCAAAGAAACACAAAAGACCTTGGTAAACAGCGCGAAATAGTGTGGAATACAACCTGAGAACTGTAATTCAATTTACTACTTGGCGTTCATTCATAGGGTCTGAATTAGTTTGAATGGTCCAATAGCTCTACACTCGTGTAGGTTTAGGAATCGCATATACCTAGTGCACAATTGTAAAAATCAATCCGCTTTGACTCATGCGTGATGGTGTCTTCGGTTTTTGGGGATTTCACTTATCATCTACTGCATCTAATTTCTCTTAATGTAGCGCATTGCAAATATCATCATTTTGGCATAGTAGACACATTCTCACACGTGCTTCTGGTTTCCGATTAACACTAACTTATATCACGTTTTGCCCTATTGTTTATGTTAGCTGATCCATTCATGCTGATAAATTTTAATCTTAATGAAATAAATCTTGATAAAATTCACTTATTACAAGAGTTGATACACTGCATGTTGTATTCTAAATATCCAACCAAGCTGTTATTTTTAACCACAGTAAAGAGACTTAAAACTACTTTGCTCAAAAACAATACAGTTACTCATTCGATGGTGACAAATTAGTGATATTCAGCGTCACTTATTGTTACATTTACATAAAAACTGCGTATATTTTAGAAGGAAACTTGACCCATAATCTGTTGAATTCTATTTCACTAAAATCTCGCCGAGTTAAGCTAGTAGGTATTGTAGTTATGTCCGATTAAGTTCCTCTCGAACGAATCTTTGCTGAACTAAGGTGCAATATCTGATTTTTATTTTCAGATAAATTTGTTAACTACTTTTGGATTATTGTTTTGTAGATTAGTTCTTGAAAACTCTATGAAAATACGGACAATCGTTCGACCTGCCGCATATTCAGACATCCCCCCTAACCAATCAGAATCGATCAAAAAACATCGTCATCGTAAACACAAGTATTCCACAAGGAGACATTACAATTCTATATCCCCGTCATCCTCGTCATCTGAAAGAGAAACTTTCCAGAATCGCTATGACGCAACTATGTTGACCAATAACTCTCGACCTCGTAATTACCGACAGAAATTAAACGATGTATCTACTTCTGGTTCAGAAACAGGGGATAGTTCCCCAAGTTCTAATAGACAGATAGCCAATGTACATAATCACAGGAAAAACTATAGCACTAAACGTAAACACATACCACGTTCATCATCAGAAGACTCTCAAACATCTTCCCTTAGTGATGATCCCCATTTTTCCCCAACGCATAATATAGAAAAATCGAAAAGTGGACGTCGTCGTTTATCTCCTCCATATGCTTATCGTATTGATTATGAAAAGCCTCACAAAAGCAAACACCGTTCATCGATGCGATCAGCGCCAAACGGTGAAAGTAGGCGTAATTCGCGCGAGCACTCTAATCATCATTTATTACGAAGCAGCTTTCGAGATCATCGAAGGTAAATTGTACATATGAATGATTTCGTTTTAATTTTACTCTAATGTAAAGTGATGATTTTGAGTATTAACTTTTTTCACTGGTGTGAGTGGTAGATTATTAACCAGATTGCAATAAAATATTTGCACTACCTCATCGTTTTGTGGTTGTCTGACTCTACATGTAGAAGTGTTTTATTGTTCAATATAGCTTCACTTGGTACATACATTTTCGGTTTCTTTGAAATCAATATTAAAAGCCAGTTCCATTTTATTTAATTAAAGATTTGTCTATTTAGCACGTAAGAACTTATTTTTGTATCACATTAGTCTTAACTTCAGGCTCGAACCATTGTACTTCTCTTCGACTGATTGTAACAGCATGTTGTACATCAATTCATATGCGTTTCTCCAATTATCGTTTGTTTGCGCGAGCTCTGTTATTAGTCTATCTAAAAGTATGAGAACTGAACGGATCCGTTCCAAATTCGTATCCACAATGGACAAAAGATACTCAGTTAGAATCTTAATATCTTCGTTTATTGGCACTGCAAAGTAAAAACAAAACAGTCGAAGTTAAATTGATCTTTATAAAAATATTATTGTGTAGCGGGTATTTAGTGTGTACTCACCTGCTTCACTTGTTATCCAGTCTGCGAATATCTGCTGAAGTTCGGACAGTGTTTTGTTGACAAACAGACCACTTGGATCCTCTAATACCCGTGTAAAACTACGAACTGGTGATTCTTCGTCCTTTGTACATTTCGTAAGAGCAGTCGGAACATGATTGCAGCCCATTTCTTGGTCTTCTGGTTTGAGTTTTTTATCCGCTTTTGGGACTCCTTTGCGTGTGCATTCTGTTGCTGAATCTTCAAATATCATGGAAGCATTGTTTCGCTTCACTGGTGTTATGCAGTTTCCTTCAGTAACCTTTGACTGGAATAAGAAATGATCCATGAAGTATGTCCTTTTGAAAAAATGTTGTACTATTGAAGTATCTAATATTGCTCAACTTACGGAATCATCTTCACGTATCCTATGCCCCAAATGAGTTTTCTCTAGAGTATGTAAGGGTCCAGGTTCCCCGTATTTGCTTCTGCTGTCTCGTGTGATTGTATCAAGCTTGTGATGAGCTTCATCTTCAATGTTCAGTAGACTAAAAGTTATACGATAGAAATTGTTTATTGAACGTGCTTACTGCGTACAAAAGTCATAGTTCCACCAATAAATTTTACATATTAAGGAGCTCAGTAGCCTTTAATTTCCAGATCAGCTTTGTAGTAAATATAAGCAAACAACACTTGTGTTATTTGATTAGTCCATTTCTTACGGGTTCTTTCAGTGATATAAATATGCAGTATTGTGAAATGAAAACTGTATTCCTGCGAATTACCTCTTTCGGAACTAAGAGTTGACCTCATGTGGCACCATTTATCACAGCACTCAGCGTTATCAAACAATTAACCACTTCAATTCCAATCATCTTTATATATTTCAATTTTCATCTGAGAGTACTTATGGGGAGGGGCTTACTGAATTTCTGTGTAAGACTCGCTATGAACTAATATCGACTAATCAGTCATTTATTTCGGTTCAGAACAAAGTTCACCTGAATTAACCCAACAATCAAATATGCAATATTCAAGTGTTGGTTTCTAGGGATTTGATTGGTTTCAGGATTTTCATCATGAGCTGACATTAGTTAGAGAACCATTGAAAAACCAGGGAGTACTGGACAGCTGTTTCGTCCTAGTTTGGGACTCATCAGCAGTACACATCCACCCGGATTCGAACCAAGGACCTTTTGGTTACAGGGCCCTGGTTTCGAATCCGGTTGGGTGCGTAATGATGAAGAGTCTCAAACTAGGATGAAACATCTGTCCAGTACTCCCAGGCTTTCCAATGGTTCTCTGACTAATGTCAGCTCATGATGAAATCCTGTAATCAAATATGGAATAAATTGTTTAGACTCAACTGACAGTACTTTGTATACTGAAAGTTTTTGCCTAGATCCTCTGTGTGGGCATGCGTACGGACTACTGTAAAGTCAAAGACTGAGACACACAGCTGTCCCAAGCACTTTGGTTTCTAAGATTTATATAGGTGGTATCATTTAGTTTAAGAGATTTCAAAATCCTCAACGTCATTCAGTTTGAATAGTGGTTTTCGCTAAGTATTTAGAATCATACAAATAACAAAAAGATTACAGGTTAACGGACTTTCTTGCTACTGATTTGTTTTTCAACTGATTTAATCAATAATGTAAAAATAAAGACAATTACTCAGGAAATGGGCTTCAAATTTAATAAGTGGAAATAAATGATTTTATTTCTTCTCAGTCTCAAATTATCGGTCTCCAATATTATTTGGGCTAAACTGATGTCTTTCTCCACTGATTCATCCTATTTCGACACCCATCATGTTGATGTTGGCTTTGTATGAGCAACTACCATGCTCTGCTCCGCTCCGCACCTTTCCCATCTTTACATCACGGAGTGGATGTGAGTGAGCAGACACTGAATGCCTGATCCTGTCGAGCACAAACTAAAACTCGACTTTACCCCATCAACAACCACTTTACATAGTCGAGTTAGCGGGACAACATTGCTACATAGCATCTTCATCTGATGATACAAGTAGCAAAGTGCTTGAAGCGGGCGCGAGAGCATTCAACAGTCGCGTACCATAGGGCTGTATAAATAAGTGTTCCAAGGTGTTACTTGATTACCCTATTGTTGTTTCTATATTAAAAAAACTAATTAATATTCAGAAACAGGAATTAGTTATATGGTTGCACGAATCACGTCCATCGCAAACTAGCCTTTGGGAGCAGTCTTCTCCAGTCTTATGATTACTTTTTGGGCTCAGGTTAGTCGTATTAACAGTCTTTGTCCTTGCATTCTGCAGTTGATGAACATGAAGTCCTATCTGTGTAAAATGAAATGTAAAACTATGTTTAAGTACATAATTTAAAAAGATTCAACGTGAAGTCATTACAAGATGTAAAAGCGCCAAGGAAAAAGACTCAATCTCTCCTACATGGCAGATATTTAAAGACTGAATTCCTTGTAAATGACTTTTAGATATTTAGAACGATTTACTGTCTGTCTAAACATGTTATGAAATGTCTTCTATCGTAATGATCTACTACTTATATTCTATACAAATTACTGTTTGTTTGATGCTCAAGAACTGTGAGTTATTCGCTTTGCCGATTGAACTAACTAATTCAGACACTACTCTTCTTCGAACTGAAAGCTCAGGAACTAGATAGTCCGAGTAGCATCCACAAAATAAGTGCGGTTAAGATTTTGCTATGCGGATTTATTTTATCATTGGGTTGTATCTCCTCCTAAGTCTCAAATCTGTATGAATGACTTTCCGTCATACTAGTTTTCTGGAAATTTTGTCTTCCCAATTAGACACTCTTAATTCAAAAAGCTTCAGTAATACTTAACAAGAACTGGTAATGACACCTAAAGATATCGGTGAACTATAGAAGTAATCAAGTTACCGAAATTTCAGTGAGTTTGGAAGATTTTCCCCTTGACATGAGGTGTGATACGTTATCTGTGAAATATGGCGATTACTATAATGAAAGATTCCAGATGCGTTCTAATAGATATTTTTCAGTAAATGTCTTTTGTGTGCAAATAGGAGTGTTTCTTGCTTTTGACACGTAAAACCTTCACTTAACGCCTTCCTACTACTCTTCTCTGATATCAACTTTACAGATCGCTCTGCAAAATCTCAGCGTCTCAAGTCGTGCAAACATCCTAACAAGATGTTGCATTTCGACTCTGCATAGGGGACAAAACCTATTTTATTTATTATCTTATATTATTATGAATTCGATTCTAAAACTTGAGATATTTTTCAGTCTGTTTTCAATGAGAGAATCATCAACTCGGCGAACACTCCCATCTTTTATTCGGACTGCTAGTCTTGTTCTTAACTCATGAAAATGGATATATGCAGATCGCTCTGCAAAATCTTGGTGAGTAAATAACAGTTCCTATTATTTTGTGTACTAATTATTAATTAAAATATAATCTCTTTTCTCACACAAATAAGTGATCAAATAAACTTTAGGCAATTTGTTAGATACTTCAAGTCTGGCTTATTCTATGGGCCAAGTAGTTTTCTTCAAGATGTGTACGGACAAAACCTTGTTACTAAAATAGTTATGATTCTTCTAAAGTTAATATCATATTCTGTAGTTCTCAAAAAACATAGCAAACAGGTGTCAGCACATTAATTCGAAACCTTTTTACTCTTGGGCGTTTTCTTTTCATCTTCTAAGTACATTTTCTCGCCGTAGCAAGTACATCTATTCACCTGCTGATGCTATTTAATTTAAAATAATGATTAAAAATTTGCTCAGTGATTGTGTGAAATGTATTTTTACTCTATAACTTACCTGAATAAGTGATGTGTTGTTTAGAAATATCATGAATGAGTTTGGTTAGTTCCAAAAACCAACTAACCCATACTGCTAACAGTTCGTAATCAAATTATCTGTCAAACGAGTTGACTTATAGCGGTCTCTTGGTTCACAGTGGTACGCTGACTGATATAAATAAATTTACATTAATCGAAATCTTACGTATCTGTTGTATAATTACCATCGCCATTTATTTTTAAATCAAGAGTTCCGTAAAATTTAAGATCTAAAACAATTTCTGAGATATAAACGTAGTTTTGGTTGTACTGGTGCCGGCAATTGATAGGGTCCATTTTTAGGACTTATTCTCCGAACTTCGCCTGTCACTGTGACACAAAACGGATTTATCACCACTTATTTTGGTATATTTTCGTCTCGAAAAAATATTAGTCTGACCCACGATACAAATATTTTGTCAGCAGAAATAACCCTCGCATATAAGTGAAACGTTTTACATAGCCATAAACACGGAGATGATTGAAGTTTTAGCCAGCGTTATCACACACATTAGCTCTCCGAATTAAACTTTTGCTGGTTAGCTAGCTGATTGTCTAAAAATTATTGTCGGAAAAAATTTAAGGTATAAGTTTCTACTCCAAGTTATAATGGTCGACTTTTTTCTGGTCTACTTTGTTAGTACCAAATATTTCATGGATTGTGAAGGCTATTCTGGCTTGGGAGATGATAAAAAGTTCTCATGTAGACATCGCAATTTAAACAATTACAATATCTAAGTGGTACAATATCTAAGGTAAGTGACTTAATTTTACTCTCTTATATGTATGTACTACAAAAGGAAGTATTTTGTTATATTCTCTCTCGTACATGAAATTAATAAATAATGTCTCTACACAAGACACGTAAATTTAAGTTGGAAACAGTAATAAACCTACTCCCCGTAAGTCACGTGGTTCAAGGCAAAGACGTTGGATCGCTTTAAGTGCATAAGTATAGAGAACAGTGGCTTTCGCTGTATATTCAGCCATTTGAATGGTGTGATTCTTTATCGAGCACAGTCCATGACCTACAATAAAGATATGTGAGATATGAGGAAGGTGTATTTTGATTTAGTTCAACTATAAATTCAGACACATATCTTTTATTTTTAGTTTCCCTAATCAGTTTCTGTATCTCTAACCTGATGTAATATCACTGAATAAAATAAATATTAACTATAGAAAAAATCCCCATTTAGCCGTTTAGAAAACAGAAAGATTGAGCGAAGAAATATTTACTTTTCAATTAGATCCTCATCTCTGGCTCCACTCTAATATATATAGCATTTTTTTATTACAATACAACAGTTTGCGAATCAAGTGGCGATAAGTTTGTTAACAATAATTAAAGTGTCAAAATGTCAATGGGTTAATAATGAACAAAGAAAATTAATACACACAATTAAAAGGTAGAAATGGTCAGAATAAATTAATTTTACAAGGATAACACGTAATTAGAGATGAAGTGGTTAAAATAAATAAAAAATATGGACAATTATAATTTTTTATAGTTTTTAAAGGTTTAGGGAGAGGGGGCGAAGTAGTCCTATTCATGCATTCTTGTAAAGATGGCCACGGCAAGGAAAGTGGCTGTACTTCTACAGACAGCTGAAGAAATCGGAATTCACCTGAAGAAGCCAAGCCTGTGTGTTCAGAAAAAATTTGTACAGCCACTTTCCTTACCGTGGCCATCGTTACAAGAATGCATAGACAGGACTACTTCGCCCCCTCCCCCTAAACCTTTAAGAACTATAAAAGATTATAATTGTCCAAATTATTTTATTTTTTATTTATTTTGACCACTTTAATTACGTGCTATCCTTGTAAAATTAATTTATTCTGACCATTTCTACCTTTTAATTGTGTGTATTAATTTTCTTTGTTCATTATTAACCCATTGACATTTTGACACTTTAATTATTGTTAACAAACTTATCGCCACTTGATTCGCAAACTGTTGTATTGTAATAAAAAAATGCTATATATATTAGAGTGGAGCCAGAGATGAGGATCTAATTGAAAAGTAAATATTTCTTCACTCAATCTTTCTGTTGTCCTAATGACTAAATATCAGCTACTCTCTTAGCATCGGGTCTTGTATGCATTTCGATATATAATATAAATATATATATATATATATATATATAATTAGAAAGTTTGAAAGTAAAAACCTCAGTTTAAGGGGACCTTTGGTAGCTCTTCGTTTTCTTCATTGACAAACCAAAAAAATCTTGAATGAATTCTACTCTAATTTAGTCGTATAAAAGTGAGTTTCTGCTTCTACTGGTTGTGATAACTACCCTAAAAGTAAAAACAGTCTGTTCAAAAGGTGTGTTATCTCTTTCTATAGTTAGTTGTTCAGTAAAATGTTCTACGGCTGCAGGCTGACTATATGTGAATGCTACTTTCTTTATTTCTGGGTATTTTTCTGAAGTGGTCACTTTGTCGACCACACCATTTTCCTATCATTTCTTTTAATTTTACTCCCACTTAATAGTAAAAATTTCCATAGCACCAAGTTATTTCAGCACCGATGAGAGCTGGAAATCAAAATGAAGCGCCTGATACCGGCATATAAGTGCATCAGAAAATGACATTAACAACTAAATTTAAGGTGTCCTGCGAGCATTCCAAGGCGAGGAGTTCATCAACAAAACCAGTGGTGTCCATGTTACGAAATCTACTTATGGAAGTATCTCAAACAGATTGAAACGACTGCAATATTCAAACGATTATATAGTTTTGATGCGTATATTGCTTCCTTGTTTTCACACTGAAATAAGAGATGTTTAGTTTATAAGGCACTTCGATTATTCATATACCAGTTTTTGTACGAAGAACTCAAAAATGTGTTTTAATATATCATGTGAAATATGCATATGAATAAATTTTTCATGTATATGAATTATTTTTTGTGGTTATGTGTGAAAATGTAGCGTTGCGTTGGTCTCAGTAAAACTGAAATGGAGTTTAAATGTGAACAAATAATGTTTAGTCAAAGCGGGAAATTGAGAACTTCTAGGAACATTTCATTTCTGTCTGCGTTTCATTTTATGACAAGCCTGAAGTTGATTAGTATTTGTTGCTTAAGGTATGCCAATATTAAGGTTAGAAAGCTGTAACATCGATTGTTTTATCTTCTGCTATGTACCACTATCCTGCATGTAGACATGCAATTGTCGGTGCTAATATGACACTGATAATGGAGTAATTTAGTCTGATTTTCTAATTAGTGTTAGAATTTAGAAGCATATTCAAGTTAGGTTATCACGATATGCATTTACAAAAAGATAAGGGGTGGTCGATGCCACAGCGGTCAGGACTCTCGCCGACCATGCACATGAGTTTGAACCCCTACCAACGCACACCTGATATTAATGGTCGGCCTGTAAAATTTGGGTGCTGAAAATACTTACTTTCATACTTATACCAAAAATGGAGTGTGGAATCAAGCTGTTATCAAAATAAAAAATACTAATTCTAAAATCCACCCACCCATAAATTTAGCAGTTTGCTCAGGAGCGTTAGGGAGACGTAAGTACAATCGAACAGTAAGTGATTTGCCTTGACATCCGGGGTTAGTTCCGCCAGTATCTACATTTGACATACGTGAACTGAGCTCTTCGCACAATGAACGCACTAAAGCTTCCAATTCAGATTGCTGTGAATATTAAAAATGTTTAGATTTTTGTTTAATATAGACTTTCATGCATATCATAACTGTTTCCTACAGTTCAATAAATAAAGTATTTATTTAATTCAATCACAAACTTAGTACTAGGCGGGCACCTAAAGACATGCAACAAAACAGTAATATTAGAAAAATTCTGTGAGAGAAATTCAAGAAAACAAGAGCATTTAAAGCATAGTTCATTTTAGAAAAAGTGAAGTAAATTGCAGTATAATCGACATATATTACTATTCTCGGCAGAATCTGATAACGTCTCGAGCTACTGATTCGAATTATCTGTCAGACCCTACCTAGGGAGTCATGATGCTAACCGAGCATCCGATGGGGCCACGTTATAAGTCGACCTTACATCATAATGCTATTGTATGCAGGACTGCACGTTATGCAGAAGTGACAGCCAGGCGAACGTCGCGACAGCGTTAGTGGTGGTCATGGTTGGTGTATTATTTCCTGGCTTTCCCTATGGCGTTACGGATGTAACCATTATCCGAAACATTTTTTAGGTTGTTAATCGGCCATTCCTCCATAGATAGTCCCATTGTTACTGGCTTGAATGAGTTGGAACCGGCTTATCGGCAAATACATCCGTGTTATAAAAACAGTAATTTAGAATGCTGTGGAAAGTCTTACAAATATCTGTACTTTTATTAATCTAGTAAAGCCAAGTGAGCGCCCTGTAATACTGCTCGTCGCGTCTTGTGTTTGTAATCGGTGAGTAATTCATTTTGAAGAGGTGCAACAAAAGCTCAGCTATTGCACTTCACGCAATAACAAACAACCACACAATAGGGTGGGATAGGGTTAAAATTCTAAAAAGTAATATAGCTAGGTGAAGAGAGAGGTTGATTACGGAATCCTTGTTCATCGAGTCTACACCCAACACAACACATGCAACAGAAATGACTCAATGCAAATACCAGAAATATGCATGGAAGATATTATTACCGCCGGTCAAATCAGAAGAGGATAATAAATAATCTTAAAATTCTATTTCAATTCAAACACATCACAACATTCTAACAAGTAACTTATTATGACTATAAAAAACACTCGTCTTATTTCCCATCTAATTGTAATTGATCAATAACACTCGTATTATTATTTCTGAATGTACATTATCTCATATTGAGTTTTAATCCAATATCTAATCGACTCCACAGATGTATATAAGTGAAAGAAAAAAGTTGTGTGAGTGAGTAACTTGATATGATTATGAGTGGCAATAGTTTGTGCTCGAAACGTGGTCATCAATTAATATAACTGTACAACACTGTTTGTGATTTATCAAAATAAAATCTTATCCATAATGGAGTTATACTCTACCACAGTGCCCAAGTTTTATACTTACATCAATAGCAACAAATATGTGTAACTAACGTGTTAAAACTGAACGGAATTATTTCAGTCAGGAACTCATCACATTAGTTGGACCTAGTTATAATGAAGCCACTACGTAATAAGCGACAGGATCATATTCATGTTCGCTGACTTCCTCCTCGTAAAGAAGCAATCGAACTCCGAGGCAGTGTGGCAGCTAGACTTTTCTGGTTAATTCGCATTTACTTGTCCACTACTAAATGAGTAGGAAGTTCTGCATTGTGTTTAGATGTGACTGTAAACTCTTCACTGGTGAATCGTATGATGGTCTCCTGTGAGATCTGAGTAATTTTATGTTGTTTCACATACAAATAAGAATGCATTATTATACATACTGGTGTTCAGAATGTGCCCCATTTATTACACGATCAGTGATGTTTAGAAACAGTTTCATTGATTCCTATTAAAAGATGTGGTAAGTACACATTTATGTGCATTTATCAAGTTTTTACAGAATGCGTAAGAATAAATATGTTTGTCCATATCCGGAACAATTTTTTTACTAAATAGAGAAACGTACCGTGTTTAAACGGATTCCATAGTTCATCGATGCTGATACAGACTTATATTCTTTCTCAAATCTCATGATATCCATATCCTGAAATACAAGAATTTGTCTAACTTAAAACTTTTACATCATATACAAGTTCAACGGGTAACAATAGTTGAAGTAATGTGCAAAGGTGAACAAAAGGCATTTGAGTTGATTATGTAAGTCGAATGTCAAATGGTATTAGGACTTGCCTAAAAACTATGGGATATTGAGGAAACATTTAGTGCAGTTCTGATGCTTATCTACTTTAATGTAAAGTTAAGAGAGTAAATAATCGAGAAAGCCAAGAAATTTTAGGACAGTGCGCTCTGGATCCAATGAGAGGCGCAGATGAACCTCTGTATGCACGTATAATTGTTAAATCTTTATTAGATCTTAATTGTTTGAGCTGCTCTTTATGTACCCCTTTTAGATAGAGAAGCTTAATTGCAATCTTGAGATATTGGTGAAATGTTGGAATTCTTTATATGAGACTGCGGTAGATTTCGAATCCCCACTAACGTTCATCTAATTACTCTCTCTCCGGTACGGTTCTTCCACTCTGGTTGCATTGTCTTCTTTTACCGTAAGTTTATATATGCTTCGTGCAAGTCTGGCGAATCGAACAACTGCAACGTTCTACACTGATAAACTTATCGATCTTCTTTTATCGCTTCCTATATTTTGAAGAGAGAAAGAACGAACATGTTTGCAGGATAATACGAGCTCGTTTTATTTCGCGGGTACTCATCAACTGCATACATCCTAAACAAAATCAAATTATAAGTTTCAAAAAAGTTTTGGAACAGATTATTCAGTGTCAAAGAGCAACTAATTATATATAGTGGAATTAGATTAGAGGGGTTTGAGTTTAGATTTCTATTGGAAAAGACAGATTGGTTAGAGGCATATTACAGGGTCAGAGAACAGAGTGAATTTACACATCTTGTGGTGAAGAGTTTAAGAGGGTGGGGGGGATAGTGAAGTAACGTTAAGTAGATTTAGAAACTTGAAGGTCAAAATTGAACAGAATGTTTCGTAACAAGACAGATACACAGGCATACAAACAAAATTAAAATAAAATAGAATTAAGTGAAAGATTAATCACACTATTTTTCTGTATACAGAGGTCTTATCTAATTCCACTATATATAATGAGTTGCTCTTTGACACTGAATAATCTGTCTACCTACATCAAATGCTGGAATTATGTTCTTTATACCTTCTATCTGTAACTCCAAGTAATTATGAAAAAGTATGTTCCAAAACTTTTTTGAAACTTATAATTTGATTTTGTTTAGGATGTATGCAGTTGATGATTATCCACGAAATAAAACGAGCTCGTATTATCCTGCAAACATGTTCGTTCTTTCTCTCTTCAAACTAATAAAGGAAACTGGTTGTATGAAATTTTTGAAACGACGGCTTCCTATATTATTCATTATAAAAATTCGAAGATGCCAAATTATACTAATTGTCTTTCGAATGTTTCTTATCTTCTTTTGTAGATCAGTAAAACTCTGGAGTTCCATTTAATGTAGTTGCATTAAGTAATTATGTCAAGTAACTGATAACTACAACTATATGGCTTTTAAGACTAGAGGATGCCAATACGATCACTGCATCACTTCCTTTTCGAATTTCTTATTCTTATCCTGTATCAATTGAGTGTAGTCGAATTGGGTGAATAGGAGTTCAACAGGCACATTATTGTTCTCTTTGTGTCGTTAATGCCAATATTTCGTAAAGGTCTTTGATGTTCTAGTTCACCGTCACTTGCGTCACCTATTGAAGTGTATTTGCGTGAGTGCCAACTGGTGCCACCCCACATGTTAGCAAATTAGTTACAAATACTTGGTAATAGTCTGAAGTTAGTGCACAAAATGATGAAATTTTATTAAAAAATATACAAAAAAGACTGAACAAACCTTGCCATGACAGGCCAAGAAAATGCGATTACCAATTTTATTTCCCAACAAATTTTTCATCTGCCAATTTGAAATTTTTAGCATTAGTTCTCCGCAAGTTTTTACATTGAATGCTTGGGAAATTTTACTTGCTAAAGACCGACCTATGCCTAGAAAGCATAAAAGTTACCAAGTGCTTTAAATCATGCATAGTCCTATTACTCAATTAGTAGCATTATATTTTATTTAATTGGGTTTGATCTTACTTGGGATTTCAATCAATGGCAAGTCACAGAACCACTGGTAAGCCTCACCAGTCAGTTCACATTCTGGATGATAATTATTTTGCTGCAAATCGTCACCAGCAGAGTACCATCTCCAGGTCACTGTTGCTTTGGAGTTTTCAAACGGCTGAATATCGCCTCCAGACTGACCAAGAAACAAAGTTTGACCGTTGGGCTTAGCCTTCTTTGTTGCTAGGCGTGCTAACAATTTGCTTGTTCCGAACCCAATAGATGCAGTGCATCCACTAGTGGTTGTTTTTAACAGTTCTCTTATGTAGTTTCCCAGAGTTAATGGGTCAATCATTTTGTAGACTACTTCCCAGTTGCCGTCAACAAATTCAGTTGTGAAATCACTTTCATTTGAAATCGTGAGTAATTCTGTACACTCCGCATATAATTCATCACAACTTACTGCTTGAATGTTTCGAGTGAAGCTGCAGTTGTAAGGTGAAAAAAAAGAAAGAATAGATATTCACGGTGAATATGTTCTTTTTAAAACGAAGACTTTACTGTTAAGCAACACTAGAGTAGACATCTAGACTTATTGAAGA